CCCAAATCTCTGAATAATTTTGGACAAGAGGGTTAGTGAAACAAGTCCTAGACCCCACTGCTGCAGCTGGTCCAAAGGCAGTGCCTGGAATACATCCTCTTCCTCCCCCACAGCCCACTCTTTATTTCCTTCACTGTTGGCCAGCGATTATACTACTCTGGGTTGCTTGCCTGGTCGGGTGACCCAGAACTTCTTCCCTTAGGAGTCTGCAGCTGCCTTGCCCCTTTTAGGCTGTGATCACTGCAGTGACACTTCCCCTTTCATCACTGTGCATGGACACTGCCCAGTCCTGGGCATGCCCTGTTTGCCTCTACTGTGTAGTCCGTTACCACCACCAATGCAATCATTTCTTTATTTTCCTGCTGGTCCACTGGCATGAAGAACTCAAAGTGACCAGGTAGCAATTACAGTTGTGTAGGTTCAAGTTCAGTGGGAACCTTCCTGTGCCCATCATGGAAAAGAATGTCCCCTCCCCCACTAACCAGGAACGAGGAATCAGGAAGCTAGGAAAGCCCAAGGTTGCAGGGATGAGAAGCACAAAATAAGCAAATAGGTCGCTGGCAATGATGGTGAGATTAATCAATCCTACTTCAGCTGCTGTAGCTAGTCTAGCTATTTGGAGTACAGTCCCATTTGTGGACTCCTGGTTTAAAAAACCCATAGAGTACTTACTGTCCTTGGGTTGGTACTTGAGCTATTCCACAGTTCTTTAAGGCCAGCTTCTTCTGAGTGATGGAGCACATAGTAAAACCAGTGAGTCCTGTGTCCACTGTCACATCGTCTGTTGTCACAGTGTCACATGTCCATTATGATGCCTCTTTTACCACACAATGGGTCCCTGGGTATGAGTTAACATTGTACAAGAGTTCATGTTGCTAAAGAAGGTATTCTGCAACCCCCGGATGATAGTGCTGGCAGAGGGATGGGGCACAAGGACGTCCCCCATACATGTATCTGCAGTAAATGTCAATTTCAGCAAGGACAAATAGCTGTTCCTTCTGGGGTGAAAGGATTTTAGTCTGTCACTATGAGGCTGGATGATCTCCTCAAGGAATGGTGCCGTATAGAAAGGTCATCATTGATCATTGTTGTGCTGGTAGGTTAGATACTCGATACCAGCAGTGATGGATTCCGCCTTTGTGAGTGGGAGCCAAAGCTTTTCAGTTCATGCATAGCCTTCATCATTCCCATAATGTCTTCTCTGCTCATGGGCCTGTGGGACCAGTAATGGGATAACAAACGGGAGAGGCTGGCTGAAATACAAGGACAAGTCATACTGTCTACCTACTTGTTGTGAGTGTCCTCTCAGTGGGTACTTACTGGTGGGCATTAATATCAGATGTTCACTGGAGCAGTTCAGGTCCCTGGGAAAGAGTTCTTGAGTGAGTTTACACTCTCCTTTTGTATCTTGGCCTTCTAGCTATTCCAAACTGACATTGTTGTTTATATTTCGTCTTTAAGAATTTATTAAAATTTTACTCAGGAGGCTGAAGCAGGAGGATTGCTTAAGCCCCGGAGTTTGAGATTTTAGTGAGTTATGATGATACAACTGCACTCTAGCCCAGGCAACAGAGCAAGACTCTATCTCAAAAAGAAAATATATTAAAATTTGAACTGATTTCTTGTTACCTCTTTATGTGGTGGTCACCTCTTCCTCCTCTGTTCTGTCAAAGGTGAAACCGATCATATATCCATCTCTCTTTGGAGAGGCTTGTCACGCTATGGGATTGAGTTCACTGATGGGTTCAAGAAGTTATGAATTTGAGGATTATCTGATTTTTTTCTCATTGTTAGAATAGGAGCCATGTTATCTTTGGAAGCAAAATCTTTTAAAATCATCTTTTAGAAGCAGCTGTTTTTTCTGCCGAAGACCTCAGCTGGACAGAAATGCTGAAACTTAGTTACTTCTAAAAATGTCAGAACTGTCCCATCAGACACACGTCCTTCAGGTCACACTGTGAAATATTTCTGGCAGAATATCAGAGTGAAAGAGTCCTGTTTCATAAGATTCTTTTCTCTGTGATGTCATCTTCAGATGGAACTTTATCCTACACTGTTGAACGGACTCATCTCCTGAGTGGGCAGGCAAGGAAATAGAGTGTTATTACTCATTTTCTCATTATATGAGAAAGTTATGCAAGGTCAGGGTTGGGAAGGTTAGGTAGGGTTATATGGTCAGTACAACTACCAGCTGACTCATGATTCAAATATCATGAACAAGGTGTCTGCTAATTTGTGCTGGAACATTTCTAGTGCTGGTGATCTCATTGTTTTTTAAGATAGCCTATTTTTATCTTTGGTTTATATATATTATCTTTTGTTTATATTTATAGTTCTTTACAGTGAACCCAAACTTCCCTGAATTAATTCTTAGCTACTTGCTTTCTAATCCTTTAGATCAGTGGACTACAGCCTGGCATCTGTAACCTACCAGCCAATAAGGTGGGCAGTGGACTCTCAAAAGTTTATGGTAATCAGCCTGGGACCTCCTTACTTGAGGTTCTGCTCTTGCTCCATATGTGGTCTCAACTGTGAACTCTGGCTAACGTAGGCCTCATTTTGAGCCTACTTCTAGTCTTTTGAACTTTATATTGGTAGTTAGACTTCCCAGATTTTAAATATTAACCTTTCCTAATGGTCTGCAATTTGGATTTGCATTGTGGTCCTCTGAGCTTGGTAAACATTCCCTGCTCAAGTTCTAGGCCTGTGGAGCCAAACTCCATGGTCACATGCAAGAGAAGGGAGGATCTGAGAAGCTCTACCCTTCACACTCTGCCAAACAAGTTAATGCTCACCTGTACTTACAGTCCCTTCAGGTGCTCGAAAACAGATCTTATGTTCATTCAAAGTCATCTCTTCCTCACACTGAACACCTCTGATATCTTCTCATATGTTTCCTCTTAGAGTTTTAAGGAAAAGAGAACATGTTGATCCAACCATAGGTAGCCCCCAAATTTTTATATTTCCAAATTGATTTTTCTACTTTGCTTTCTAAATTTGGGATGGATGAAAATGTTAATCATTATAAGCCCAATGCATGTTACTATCTTCCCATTATTATTATTATTAGGAAAAGAGATACATGCACACAGGTTAAAAAAATCAAATAGTTCTACGAAGTTAGTTAAGAAAAACAGCATTCTCTAACTTCTTTTCCCTTTTCCCTCCTCACCAGTAGCAACCACATTATTTAGGTAATTATTTAATTATTTGGGTCTTTAACTGATGTTTCTAAATAACACGTTTATACACTATTTTTTGCCATTCAATGTTTATGTGATTATGACTGGGTGACTGTCGAACTGTGTAGTATACTATGATTTTTTAGCCTTACCTGTACAGCTTTTTGTCTCTTTCTAGTTAATAATTGTCTTATTTGATTGTCTTTCTATGTACTTGCCCCTAATTCAATCTTCGTTGATTGCTTTAATCTCCTGTGAAGGTGTTCAGATATACCAGGTATCCAGCTTGTTTGATCTTGTGAAAGGGACCTCTCCCAGAACATTCTGACCTAATCCATGTGTATAGTTGTCTTCTGCCTTAGCGTAGAGTTGCAGCCTGAGATCTACTTTCCCTAGTATTTTGGGAATTTTCTTTCTTCTTCTTTTTTTTTTTTTTTGTGTTGACAGTTCTGTTTCCTGTGTGCTTTGTCCCCTGTTTATTTGGTTCATTCTCTGGTTTTTGGCTGATCATAGCTTCCCTAGAAGAGGTGCATGGGAGAATGTATGACAGTGTCTTCATTCTACTGTGTTGTTTCAGCAATAATTTAGCTGAGTGTAAGCTACTAAAATGGACATCAGTTTTCCTCACGATTTGGAAGATGTTTTGTCGTTGCCTATTAAAAAAACTTTTAATTTTCAAACAATTTTGTTTTCAGAAAAGTTACAAAGATGGTTCAGAGTTCTGTATCCTCTCCACCGAGCTTCCACTAATGCTAATATTTTACGCAACCGCGGTGCATTTGTTAACACTAAGGCATTCATATCAATACACTGCTACTAACTAACCTGCAGACATTAGTCATGTTTCACCATATGTCACCAACATCCTTTGTTACAGGATCAAATCCAGGATACTAGATTGTATTTAGCCATAATGTCTCCTGAACTCGTAGGCAATTTGAAGGACTTGGACCTTAACTTGGAGTGAGACAGCTGCCGAGTGTAGCCTGCAGTGGATTAGGGGTATGGAGTCAGGGCAACTAGTTAGGAAACCGTGAAAATAAACCAAGACTGAGCATGGACCAAGCTTCTAGCAGCATTTTGAAGCTGGAAGGTACTATGCAAATGTTAGGGATTCTTATTGTTTGGTGGAAACATCTTAGTGTTGGGGACAGTTGAGTGTGGTGGAAATACATTAAAAACAAGGGGATTAGTTGTAACATGTGACAACATAGATGTAAAAACAATGCTTGGTGAAAAAGTAGCAAATGTAAGGAGATAGAAAATATAATGTGTAAGTAAATTAAAAACAAATGCTCAGAAAATGAGAACACATTTTGCAAAAAGCATTTAAATACAGTTACAGGTAAAAATACAAAGAACTGTATTAAACACATTAAAATGTTTGCCAGTGGGTAGGAGGGTCCTGGTAGTGGGATAGAGGGGGAAAGGAATAAGGAAATAAATCAAACAAATAACAAGAGGGAGGGGAAAGCTTTGGAACATGAAGAAAACCGGGTTCAATGTTGGGTATACTGTTTGGGACAATTTATGTAACTTTTTTGTGCCTTAAGTTCCCACCTCTGTAAAATGGGATAGTAGTAACTATTTAATATGCTTGTTGTAAGAATTAAAATACCTGGCAGAGTGCCTAGTGCACAGAATATTCTCAATAAATGTTAGATACTCTCTTTTCCCTTCCACTCTGCAGAGTTAAAGACATGTGCTTTAAGGGAAGGTATTAATTTGTGCTGTGTCCCATGATCGCGAGATGGAAATATGGCAATTGTGCTTCCTTGTCATATATTTTAAATTCATTTCTCCCTTCTCTTAATGCAGGGCTTACCGCCCAAAAGATGGAAGGCAGAAGATACTCATCTGAGCTGCCCAGAGCCTAACGTGTTTGCTTTCTCACCTCCCCGGGCTCCACGTCGGAGCTCTTTGCGAGAGATGTGGGTACGAAGCTTTGAACAATCCAAGAAAGAAGCCCAGGCGCTAAGGTGGCTGGTGGATAGGAATCAAAATTTCTCAGCTCAGGAGTTTTGGGCCCTAGTATTCAGGGACTAATTTCAAAAAAATATCAGAGTGACGCAGAGTAGAACCTTCTGGAAGTTTATTTTCTGGGTTGCCTTAATATTTGAACACAATAGCTATTCTGTTGACTATCCATTAGGATAAGAATTAATTGCTGCAGTACTCACAATGAGCCCTATCAAAGAATAGATGTGAATTACCCTTAGGGGTGGCCTCTGTATTTTTTATACTAAAAAGGTAAATATTTCTTACGAACACTGGTCATCTTCAGTTTACATGTCTGGACTCATGTACTTGCTGCCTTTTGTGGAAATTCACCTGGTTTAGAGTGAGTGCTTTCCTTGCACGATGGAGGCAGAGGATCTAGCCGTGGATTCTTGGTCCTCACTGCACTCTCAACAGTGTACTGGTATTTGGAAGCCCAGTGTTCTCTGATGCTCAGTGTGAACATGAAGTGCATTAGAACTTGGCAATGAGAGATCCCATCTGTTGGTTTCCAGGGATGTAAGTGAGTAATAAAAGCTGTTTCAGGTCTGTCTGCCATCTCCTCTTCCAGTCAAAAGGACATACGCATGTCTACCTTCTTCTCCTTACCCTGACCCACCTCTCTAACCTTCCTTATTCCTACCTGGCCCCGTGGCCTCCCGTTTTGCCTTCAGAGTGGGATGTCTTGTAAAGCCATGATTCCTCCTTGTGTGTTTTGGTCAGTCAGATGTTACCGGTTGTCCCTTCTACTGCTGAGCAGAATAATAGCAAGAATTGTATGATTCCGGCTGGAGTGCGAGTACAAGTGGAATGTCCCCAGGAACTCCACTTGTGTTGAAGCTGGTTTGTTGTTTCTTAGGACGATGTGCAGAGCCTGTCATGGTGGGCAGCCACAGGCACTCAGTTTGTGAGTGTTTCCTGTCATTTCTGATCCTGCCACAGAGACGGTTCAGCTGTCTTGTCTGGGGCGTCTACCAGAGCTCCATAAAAAACAGGGGGGAGTAACACGGGATCACATTTTCCTTCCATAGGAAAGTGGGGAGGCTTCTAGGTGATACTACAGCCTGTTGCCACCAATATGTCACGGTTTCCATATTCTTTTTTTTTTTTTGAGACAGAGTCTCACTCTGTTGCCCGGGCTAGAGTGCCATGGCGTCAGCCTAGCTCACAGCAACCTCAAACTCCTGGGCTCAAGCATCCATCTGCCTCAGCCTCCCGAGTAGTTGGGACTACAGGCGTGCGCCACCATGCCCAGCTAATTTTTTCTATATATTTTTAGTTGTCCAGCTAATTTCTTTCTGTCTTTAGTAGAGACGGGGTCTCGCTCTTGCTCAGGCTGGTCTCAAACTCCTGAGCTGAAACGATCCTCCCACCTCGGCCTCCCAGAGTGCTAGGATTATCCATATTCTTTATCATGGAAAGTCGTAAGCCTCAGAGGGCAGCCAGAGGACAGGAAGGTCTCTGGTGTTCACATTCAGGATATGGCATAAAGGGGAAACTTAGGAGTACATCCTCAGCACCAGCAGGTGCCTGTGGTGTGCATGGCAGTGGGCAGTGTCTTCTATGTGTATCTCTCTTGGCCATGCCAGCCAGCATGTGAGAAATGAGGACTGATCCTAGTACCTTCTTTTAGAAGCAAGAAGGGCCACATTGCTGGGTGGGAGAAGGTGTTTAAAACTGGGTTCTTCCCAATTTCAGCTCTGTCATTAACTAAGTGTGATCTTGGAAATATCTCTTAACCTCCATGGACCTTGATTTTTGCATCTAAAGAGAAATGATTGAGCTGGTCTTTGAGGTTTTTTTTCTGTGTAACATTCTTTAATTGTTTATCAACATTAAGAAGTTTAATTTTATAGATGCCTTTACTAAGACAGTAACAAACTAGAACCACTGTGTATTATTCAAAGGAAGCACGCTCTTTGGAGAAGGAGCGTAACTTAACAGGTAGTATTGGGGATGGAGGGGAATTTATCTGGGCCATTTTGTTTGATACTGTCAAAGAAGTAAGGGCTGGAAAGGGGGATTGTTTGTTAAAGGCCAGATTTTAAATTGTGTATTAAATGGTTTTTTCGAGCCCCCAAAAGAAAGCCCGAGAGATGATTTATGCCTCTGGCAAGATGTTGTCATGGTAGCTTCTGTTTTCCTCCATAAATGCCTTAAGCAAGCAAATATCCAGTGCTTACATGCTGCATGGATGTCTTAAACCTCAACATTTCCTGCAATCTTGTTCCAGCCTAGTTCTTCATCAAGAGTTCATAAATAAAATCCTCTCTAAATTTTTCTGAAGTGTGTATCCCTGATAAAATTCAGGGAAATAAAATCATTGATCATTGAATGCAGCATAAAAATTTTGTAGGGAAGGAAGATCGAGAAGAGGGAATTCCATGGAATTGAAAATGGGATGTATTTCAAACAAAAGAAATTATGTATTCTTTGGGACTCTTTGCCCACAGACTTGAGACTTTATTTTTATGATAACCATTTGCTGCTTCTGTAATAGGTTTTTCAGTAATAAGACGATGACCTCTCGTCTGACAATTGCTGTTATGAAGTGAGAAGTATGTCCTCGTTGTAGCAGGATTCTTACCTGCAAAATGGGAGCTACACTATTTGAATTCCACGTAAGGCCCCTCGATACAATTCATCTGTGTTGATCTCATTATGCCACACCTTTCTATTTACCTCTTGGTCTCTGTTTGTGAAATATGATTAAGAAAGTGACCTACCTCACAGGGCTGTTGTGAGGGATGAATCATGGCCGTGAAGTAGTTTGTACAATGCAGCATTCTGTTTGGTGCTTCCATACGTTTTACTTGGATTGTTCTCAAGGACTAATTTTCAAAGCATATGACCAAGGTGGACGGAAACTTTTTCAGAAATGTTGGAGAAAATGATTACTAATGCTAGTCAGTAGCCATCACTTCTTCACCTAAAAATGGATGCAATTTTGGCCTTTGGTCATGTACTAGAAATGGTATAATATTTCAGAACTTGAGTGCTAACTTATTGCTGTTAAAGACTAGATTCTAGTAACTAGAATATCAGTTGGGGTCATCATTATTACTATTAATAGAATAAATGCAAACAGTGTTCTATGCACTACTCAGAAATGAAAGACATAGGCAAAAATGAGCATCATTCCTTCAGCCACACATTGTATATTATACACAGGAGAACCAGCTAAATATCTGTTAATATAAAACACTGTACAAATCCAAGCACAGTAGAGACCTGAACTTAATATTGTGCATTTTAAAAAGTCATTTGTAGGATTCAATTCCTGCTAGAGATGACAATTCATTAGGAGAATGTGGTTGTTTTAGTCTGTTAAGGCTGCTATGAAAGAATACTATAGATTGAGTGGCTTATAAACAAAAGAAATTTATCTCCCACAGTTCTGGAGGCTGGGAAGTCCAAAATCAAGGCACCAGTAGATTCAGTGTCTGGTGAGGGCCCGCTTTCTGTTTCATATATGGTCATCTACTTCCTGTGTCCTCACATGGTGGAAGGGATGAGGGAGCTCTCTTGGGGGTCTCTTAATAAGGGCATTAATGTTATTATTATTATTATTTTTTTTGAGACAGAGTCTCACTCTCTTGCCTGGGGCAAGTGCCGTGGCATCAGCCTAGCTCACAGTAACCTCAAACTCCTGGGCTCAAGCGATCCTACTGTCTCAGCCACCCGAGTAGCTGGGACCACAGGCACGCGCCAACATGCCCGGCTAATTTTTTCTACATATATTTTTTTAGCTGTCCAATTAATTTCTTTCCATTTTTTTGGTAGAGACGGGGTCTCGCTCTTGCTCAGGCTGGTCTCGAACTCCTGAGCTCAAACGATCCGCCCGCCTCGGCCTCCCAGAGTGCTAGGATTACAGGCGTGAGCCACCGCGCCCGGCCTGCATTAATGTTATTTATGAGAGCTCCACCCTTGTAACCTATTTACCTCCCAAAGGCCCCACCTCTTAATATCCCCCATCACCTTAGGGGTTGGGATTTCAACGTGAATTTTGGAGGACATAAACAGTCTATAGCATTCTGCTCCTCATCCCCCCAACTTCATGGCCTTCTCACATGCAAAATATATTCATTACATCCAAACAGCCTCAAAAGTCTTAACTCGTTTCAGTATTATCTCTAAAACACAACGTCTCATCTAAATATCATCTAAACCATACATAAGTGAGACTCAAGGTACATTCATCCCAAGACAAATTTCTATGAAGCCAAACAAGTTAATGCACATTTAAAATACGGTAATGGTGGGACAGGCATGGTATAGACATTCCCATGCTAAAAGGAAAAATGGGAAAGAAGAAAGGTCCCAGGTAAGTCCAAAACCTGATGGTGAAAATCCCATCAGACCTTAAGGCTCAAGAATAATTCTCTTTGACTGGATACTGTCCCTTCCAGGACCACTGAGGTGTCAACGTCGCCCCATGGCTCAGCAGGACAGCCCCGTGGTGGTTCTCTACTGCACCTCCTCCCCCATGCATAGTTCTCTCTGGCTGGGGTCATGCACCCCTGGCTCTGGCTGCCTCTGTCCTTTGGAACCTAGGTGGAGGCAGCTATGTCCCCCAATCCTTGCACTCTGTGTTCTGCTAGAGATTGCACTGCAAGGATGCCTCAAAAGATTGCTGTTTGTGCCCTCTGGATGAGTAGCCACCATGGCCTGTGCTGCACTGGGGCCTATGGGAGCTGCACCTGTGGAGGTTGATGAGTATGGTGCTGAAGTGCAGAGTGGAGCCTGTGATGTAGCTCAGTGACATGCAGCAGGGCTGAGGTCCCACAGGTGCCAGTGGTCCCTCCTTTGAGGCCACTCTGCTCCCTCCCACCCCCTGCCCTTATACGTGAGTATGTGATTGGGGCAGCAGCTCTGATGATGTCTGGATCACCTTGTGCTGTTGTCTTAGAGAATAGCTTCTGGCTTCTGTGGAGGTGGCTGATCCCTACTAATGCTCTTGCCAAAAGGTCGCTTGGCCACATCCTTAGTGTTCTCATTTTTTGTAATATGTATAAGCTGAGAATTTTCCAAATCTTCTAAGCTCTTTTTTGCATAACAATTCCATTTTTAAGTCATTTTTCTCTTCTCACATTTTATTATAAGCAGTCGGGAGGAGCCAAGCTGCACCTTCAACACTTTGCTCAGAAATAGCTTCAGCTAAATAATTCGATTTCACTGCTCCCAAGTTCCTCCATCCCCAAAACCCTAGAGCATGAACACAATTCAGCCAAGTTCTTTGCCACTTTATAACAAGGATCACCTTCTCTCCATTTCCCAATATGTCCCTCATTGCTATCTGAGGCCTCATCATCATGGCCGTTACCATCCATATTTCTGCCAACATTCTGCTCAGGATTACTGAGCTATTCTCTAAGATAATTGAAACTTTTTCTATAGCTCTCTTTTCTTTCTGGGACTTTACCAGAATTGCCCTTATCTGTTCATAGTAATGTAGGCTTTTTCTAGCATGCACCTTAAAACTCTTCCAGTCTTTACCCCTTAACCCAGATCCAAGGCCACTTCCACATTTTTAGGTATTTATACAGCAGCACCCCACTCCTGATACCAATTTCTATCTTTGTCCATCTGGGCTGCTGTAACAGAATACCATGGACCAGGCGGCTTATAAGGAACAAAAATCTCTCACAGTTCTGGACTAGGAAGTCCAAGATCAAAGTGCCAGCAGATTCAGTGTCTGGGGAGAGCCCAATTCCTGACTCATAAATGACTATCTTTTTGCAGCGACCTCACATGGTGGAAGGGGTGAGGGAGCTCTCTGGGTCTCTTTTGTAAGGGCAGTAATCCCTTTCATGAGGTCTCTACTCTCATACTCACTTCCCAAAGACCCTACCTCCTAATGCCATCATATTGGGGGTCAGAATTTCAACGTATGATTTTTTGGGGGCGGAGACACAAAACATTCAGTCTATAGCACCAATATAGAGCCAATTTTCAGCGAATGATGTTGATTACCCCAAAAGCAAGATGAGTATGACTCTGCATAAGGAACATATGCCTTCCTTGGAATCTTTAGAGTATACTGTAGAGAAGTTAACAGACCAAGAATAATGGTGGTTACTTTGTGTTTAAGTATTAATAA